TTTCCAACCCCTTAGTTTGTGTGCGATCCTCTAATGGAAGGAAATGAGCATTCAAAGTACTAGGGCATGTCCTATGGAAAATTCACATTTGACCACACAAAGATTTCAACTTGCATTTGTGTTGGTGGGATGTGTGTATGTATATAGCTTTTATATAATTTTTACAAATCTTCCCATTGGTGCTCTTAGTGTTTTGTGGGCAAGTGGTTATTGTTGAGAAAATGGCAAGCTCAGTAAGAATGGGTGAAGCCATGAGGTTGAGGAGATGGACACATGGCTTTTGTCCTTTTGATTTTACTGAAGTTGATTAAAAAAAAAAAACTCTGACAAAAGATTATAATATAATGACTTATCTTCTTTGGTGGTCTTTGAGGTTCACATAATTGAAGGGTTAAAAACCTCTTTTGTTTCTTTCTTCTTCCCGTGTCATTAGGACAGAAAGAACCATAAAAAAGTACAGCCAGAAGGGGTTTAACTGTTACTGAGTCAACATTTGACAGTCACACTCAATTCTGTCATTTCATGCATGTGCTTTTTATGAGTTTTATAGCTTTGTGAGCTTTATTTCAGGGATGTCCATTAGGATAGCTGATCCACAGCCTGTCTCTCTCTGTGTATGTATGTGTCTGATGGGGAGCAAAGCTCATCACTTACACAAATCCCAATTTCAAGGAGCAATGGAGGAACCATCCACTCATGCACTATTTAATTTAGGTTTGTGTAACTAAGGAAATATCTACCTCCTGTAGAGGACAGCTCATGTGCGTCTTTATTTTCATTGCCCTATGATACATCAACAGAGGATGTTCATTTGAACTTTTACTAATCTATTGAATTTTAAGTTCTCTCCTGAGTGAGTTGAACTAATAGAGCAATAAAAGGGGAAAAGGGATAAATACATTGTCATAGTTGGACAAGTGGAAAGAAAAAAATCTCAACAAATTTTAGAGTTGCTGCCCAAATTCTCTTTTATTGCATATCTGTTGACCATCTGGCCTTAGAGGAAAAAACTATTGTGATTTAATATTTAGAATGAACAATTCCTGTAATTTTGATTTATGTAGAAAACATATTTCAGGTGTTCGTCACTGAGAATCAGTATGTTTATGTACTACATTAAGTTCACCACTAAAACGTCCAGATCTACTTTTTATTGTCCCCCTTTTCCTGATTTACCCACCTTCTTCCCCATCCCCTTCTGGTAATTGTTAATTGATCTTACAGTCCAAAACTTTATTTTCTCTAACTCATTTCACTAAGCATAATTCCCTCTTTAGGTCCATTCATGTTATTAGGTAACAAAATACAGGTCTTGGGCCTCCCCCATGGCGCAGCGGTTGAGCACTGGGTTGCGAAGCTGCCCACAGCCTCTGCAGCGCCGTTTCGATCCCCAGCTGCTCCCTGGCCACCAGAGGAGGGTCCCACATGGCGCGCAGACCTCTCCCGCCGCCCGCTGCTCCCCTCAGCAGTGTACTTCGATCCTTCTGACTGCTCTGCTCCCTGCTCTGGCTCTGGTGAATTCTCTCACCCTCCCGCACTTCTGACTGTACCCAGTGCTTGTATAAATAAATAAATAGTTTAAAATAAATAAATAAATAAATAAAGCAAATGGGCCTTCTTAAAAAAAAAAAATCAAAATACAGGTCTTGGCTAACCACCTCTACTTAATTGTCCACCTCTTTAGATAGTTCCTACCTTAGCGCTCTGTTGATTCCCACCGTTGCTGGTGTCATATGCAACCAATATAGGTATTGTTCTCCATTATGCAAGTCACTTGATAGCCACAGGGCCCATGATCTATATACTAATAATAGTTCTCCAAATAAGTTTTAGAGTTACTCGTTTGACCCCAAGAAAATACATGCCTTTATTTTCTTCTGCAGATGAGATCTAATTCATTTAGACCTTTGTATTCAAGTCAATTCACCATCAGAAGATTTTCAATTAGAACAGACTTTACCTACTATTTCCCCCTCATTTTAGTAAATCTATAATGTTATATAAGGTTTGATTCGCAAGATAAGGACTCAACTTTCCAAAAGACATCTTAGTTGTTAATTCTATTACTATTGATAGTTTTTACTTGAGTGCAATACAGGTCATTTTGTTTGGTCCTTACTTAGAAATGTACTAAGACTATTTCATCTTTACTACTTTGTAGTAGTTACTCATTGTGTGCTGTCTACTCAGAGCACATCAAAATTATTATCAAGTAGTTCTGCAAATGCAAATGCAAAAAAAAAAAAGAAAGAAAACCAGTGAATCTTGCCAGTTTACGGTAAGAGAACCATAAAGTGTGTTAAATATCAGATGGATCTGGGTTACAAAACAGATCTAAAAATGAGGGCATGGGCTACTCTTTTTAAATAATCATGACCAGTTGGAACTAAGATCATGAATTTGATTCACACTGTCACCTGTGCCCATAAACAGCTTTCTACAAACTCAATTTGCTTGATTTTTCCCATTTTCAATATCTTCCCATCTATCCCCTTCCTACTGAGTACTATTGCCCTTATTTTGTTTCAGCTGTCTCTGTTTACAAGGCATTAATTCTAAAAAATTGCCTTTTCAGTAATATTTGCACATACAAAAAGTTTTTGTAAAGGGAAGTATTTAACTAAATAAAACCAATCTCACACAGTTGGGTTTTACACATGAGAGTGCATAGGTGGATTCTTTTGGGGAGAACAGCTTGGGCTGGGTGGGGTAGAAAAAGAAATCTTTGCCATGAACTAGCATTTGTTCTTTATAATGTTTGGTTCACTCTTTTCTCCTCTTATGTGCTTGAATAGATTGAATTTAAACTTGTAACAACTGTTCTTAAATTCTGTTCATGCTTTAGTGGTTTAGTTATATTACCTAGACTCCTGTCCACATACAGATCTATATCTACCTCTGTACCTAAAAACTCAATTTGTATGTGTGTGAGTGTGAGTATACTCTCTCTCTACAGGAACTATTTAAACCATTTTCATATGGATCATATGGCAATTCTTTGCCATATTAGTTACCATATATTTACCTTATAACTACTACGGATTTATTATATTGACTGTACTTCAAAATTTATTGTCAGTGAAAGGTGACAATGTTACCATTTGGTTTACTTGCTGTTGCAAGATGTTTTAATTAAAGTCACGTTCTCCAATTCCCTCTCATTTTTCCTGTTCAAATGGTCTGAGAATTAGCTTTAATGACTGTGCACAGGGTCATGAAAATAGAGCAGCATACCGTGTTGACTTTCACCATCTCCTACTGACACCCTCTTGAAAAGCATTGTAGGTTCCATTTTAAGGGTTTTTAATTGTACTATGGAGATTACTTATTTGTAAAACTTGTGACTTTCTTTCTCCTCATTTGCTAATTTTAGCCTCTTGGTAAGTGGCACACCATCCATAGAGCTGATCTCAGAACTTTAAAAGTCTATTCCAACTGCCTTCATTTTGCTTTTTCTTCTTGAAAAACTGGACTCAAGAATGGAGCACTCTCTAGAAAATAAGTAACATTATTGCCTTGTATACTGTTAAATCAAAACCTGAGAGGCAATCCATACCTATATATGTGCCAAAGAAAGTACTGTGATGCCTTCACTAACCCAAGGTGCTCAGATCATGTTGATGGAAGGAGGCTCTTTTAATGTAGCTGTCTTCTATTTTAACAGCTACATTCACTATAAAGTCTGTTAAGCTAGTGTCGTTGGTACTCCTGAACACAGATAAATAGACACAATGAACTGTGAGCAAAAGAAATCCAGAACATATAAAGCAACTGAAAATAATTTTACACAACAACCAAACTACATCAGGTTCTACATTTTAAATATAATTGATTTTGACGTTGGCATTGTAAATTCCTCTAGAACTAATATTGATATAAACTATGCAGTTTCCAGTTTCCTACAATATTTTATGCTTACAACAGAGAACAGGAGTTCCAAGGCCACTAAATTAAGAGAATGGCAGTATTACACTTGTACATACTATAATGTCTGTCTCTGTTTATGTAGTATTAAAGTATGTACTATATTAAGAATTTCAATACCCTGTTGGTTCTTGGTGGCAACACAATTACCTTAAGTTCTTGATTATTTTCTGTGACACTTTTATTGTATCAATAATTGTTCCATACTTAGTTATGAAATCCAATAGATGCTTCCCTTAAGATTGCGTTGGAAGCCACATTGGCTTCAGAGAAATGATGGTGAATGCTAAAAAAAGGTTGTAAACCTTTCATTGTATATGTTTTCTTAATATCTGAATTACTTACTTTGGAAATATAATGTGTCAAGTAATTTTTACCAAGCACTATATTTTCCTGGAAAATAATTCAGTTTGTAATGCTATGATCTCCATGAATTCAAATCATACACTTCATGCTTTTAAATGACTTGATTACTTTGCAGATCTCAGTTTAGTATAGTTTCTCACCGTAATTCACCAGTTGATTCTTTTGGCTTAGCAATCCAAATGAAATTGTGGTCCCAGTAACAGGCATTCACAGTGAATGCGCAGACTTTACAAACAGCAATGAATATTAAATGTCTTCCTTATTCCACTTACATGGGGAATGCAAGTGGCACTGAAGGTGATGGTCACCAGAGGGCGCTACTCTGAATTACAGCTCTATCACTTGTTCACCAGACTTTTGGGTCCCCATGCCACTTTCCTGTTTTCTTCTGTCTGGGTAGTACTGTGCTCCCATAAAGTTTCTGTGCACTCTGTGGCCTAGGAAGGTTGTCTCAAGAATCTCAGTGAATGTTCTTTGGGCACACCAAACTCAAGTGCCAAGACGGTTGGAACTCAAAGTGTCAGAGTTCCTTCCATTGCCCTGGTGATCATTTGCTTTAATGACCTCTGTGTAAAAAACTGACCGAGCAACGGGGAACAAATCAACATCCCATCCCAAAAGCTAATGTATTCTGTTCAGCCCACAAAAAGATGTCTTTGAACAATTATAATTTCCAGTTTGAGCACTCATTATAAATTTCTTATTTGAAGGAAAAAACAACACTGGAGAGTCTGACTCAGCAACTGGCAGTTAAACAGAATGAAGAAGGAAAATTTAGCCACGCCATGATGGACTTTAACATGAGTGGAGATTCTGATGGTTTGTGCAAATTTCCATTTATCTCTCAGTAGTGTGCAGAAGTGTTTATTTAGTGCTAATTAAAAGTACTAAAAACATCCCCTCATACCTGACCATACACAAGCACTCACAAGTGTGCCAAGCTCTCTGTTAAGTGTTTGCAAGTCATCTCCGTAGTCCCTAGCACAGCCTCCAGGAGGTACATATTACCAAGATAACGTGCCAGACAGTGAACTAGATTCCAAGGCAAATATTCTGGGGTCACCATCTACTCTCTCACCTCCCTAAATCTTATACCTCAAACAAATTTTCCTGAAATGCGTATTTATCTCATTTGTAAGTTTTCTTCTGTCAAACTCTATGAGGAGAATCTCCCAAATACATAGCTGTCTGCTCTATACCTTCAGCCAATTCCATTTTTAAGTCCAGTTCTGCACTCGCCAGGGCTCTAACCAACACAGAGCATTTAACCATATAGTTCTGCCAAAATTGCATTTTATTCATTTGAGTATCAAAAGAAAAGTCTTTGCTTTCTGGCCTATTGCGTCCAAATATTTCCCCCTAATTTCTGCTTTGTTTAAGGTAAACCCGGCCTATACACACACACACACACAACTTGTTTAGCTTTGATGACTTTCCACAATGTTTATTCTATTGTTTATGTAGGCAGATAGGAAAGTGATCATTTGCTAGTTACAAACTCATTTTTTGGAGGCTCTTTCCATGTGTCAGCACTGATTTTTGCCAATAAAAAGACAATGTTAATAACATATTTAATGAATTTTAAGTAGTGCTAGTAAGATAAAATCTGTATATATCTATATATGATCTATGTATTATAGCATGATAATCAGCATTAAAACAGTAAAAATTTTTGTTGCTGTTAAATTCAGTCATGCTTGTAAGCAAAAACATTTTCCAATGTTTATCAGGCTGAAGAGCACATTATGAATGAGAAATTCCACCAACAGTTCTTACCTGTAATCATCCATTCTGCCAAATTTATTAGTGCTTCCCAATTTTGTAAACTGCTATAGACATCTTAAGTAGGAATAGATTTGGTTGATTCCTAATCCTTCAAAATAAGAAAAGAAAGGAAGAGGAGTATGAAGGATAAAGAGAACAGTACGTGTAGTGATAATGCAATCTCTGGAAATCACAAAGTAAGTAAAGGTTTATAGGCCACCAAAATACATCTCCTGTAATGATCATCCCAGAAAACTTAGTATCAGAATTCCTTATTTCCTTCTGCTTCTCCTATTTTCTGCCCAAGCACAAGTTTCTCTGCAAGTTGTTTAATCTGCAAGTCTCCTGAAGTCTAGAGAAGAGACTTACAGCTCCCAAAGGGTACCCTGTGACTCTGGCTTGTGTTTTGTCATCACAAGCCTTGCTGATTGGAATATATCTACCAATGGGGCCTTAGGTATTGGGGGGAAGTTCAGGGGAATGAATATTCTATTTGGTCACCTTAAAAATGTGGCTATAGACTTCATGTGAAGCAGTTGTACTGTAACTTTTCATTTGTTCTTTTTCCAACCATGTTCAAATTGCTTTTAGGAAGCAGACTAGCATTGCAAACATTAAGCATTTATTAACACATAATTTCAAAGTACAGCCAAACACCTAAGAAGAGAATATCTATATTGTATTTTAACCTCAAAAGTTTATGTGGCAGTGCTTTTATTTACATAAGGTCAGAGAGAAGAAAGGGCAGGCATACTCCCTGTTTTGACAGTCTCAGGAACAGAGACAGATCCTCACCTGCAGTCATCCATTCTGCCAAACATTAGTGGTTCCCAGTTTTGTGAACTTCTTCATCTATTTAATATTTCTGCAGTACTGGCATGCCCACTGATCTGCTCCAACTGTTTTCTCTCCAGTCTGCATCAGACATCACAATTCAAGTTTCTTGTGTGCCCTTGAAAGTTGTGACACAGTCCATTAAAACAAAGGGAAAATGTATCAGAAATGTATTAAAAACAAATACATTTGCAAACAAGCATTTTTCTTAAGAACTGGTGGTACAATTATCAGATGTACTTTTTATTTTCACATATCTTAGTAGACTGAAAAACAGTCATGCACAGAAGAGAATCCCTTGAAGTTCAAACACTAATGTGAAGCAATGTCCCCTACTTTTAGGAAGTGCTGGAGTCTCAGAATCAAGAATTTATAGAGAATCCAGGGGGCGCGGTAGCAATGAACCTCACATAAAGCGTCCTATGAATGCCTTCATGGTGTGGGCTAAAGACGAACGAAGGAAGATCCTCCAGGCCTTTCCTGACATGCACAACTCCAACATCAGCAAGATACTGGGTAAGAAAAGCCTATATGGGACAAACGTAGTTCTGTTCTCTACAGTTACTCAAAGAGACAGGAAAGAAGCCAGGTCATCTTGCTATCCGTTTATAAGCACCATCGTTGATCCTTTTCTTGACAATGAAGTGGTCTGTATTTGTCAAGAAATGTGCCCAATTTCTGTAGTTAATTCAGGTGTGTGTCTATATATGTACTGTTGTAATCTTTTCCCTTTACTGAGACTTGGGGAGAAGTTCATTTTCCTGACCCAGTATTGGTATTGACATATTTACTCTTTTTCCTTTGCAAAAACTATAGACTCCATCATGGGATGGGAGTGGAGATGTTTGTTCTACTACTGTATTTGAAAATCAATTTAAATTTTCACAAGAAGATACAGATGTGCAGTTTGAATTTATACTTTTAGTAACTTCAGATATGTTCAGTATAATTAAGAAGAGATCTTTCCTGCCATTGCAACTGCAGCTTAACAGATAACAAAGTACAGATTTACCCTACATACACCGCACAGGACAAATGGGTGAGGAGTTACTGATCAGAAAGCGGTTGTTATAATAGACTATTTTAGGTCCTAGGAACAAAGAAAGGATAGATTCCACTTCTTATGTGCTAATCTCTTGACACCATCGTCTCATTCATCTTTATGGACAACCTATATACACTGTTAGTATTCTTTGACTTCTAGTGGCAAATTTTGACTTTAACAAAATCTATCCAGGTTATCAAAGTTTTATTCAGATCCACAATGCACTTTGAATTCCATTCACTTCAGAGCTAGTCAGGTGCTGTCAGGGTCCCATATCCTCAACAGTGGTAACAGATGCCAACCCTTCCTACAACAGGCTTTTGTAGTGAGAGCAGAACAAACAAAAACCACAAACCACTTAAACTTGTGTCTAAATCTTCATCTAAAGTGATTTTTGAGATCTTTAGATGAGTGTTATCTCAAAATATCTAAGCATGTCAAACCCCAGAAAATGTGAATATGTATAGAAATATATCCATGCATAATCAGATACTGAACTGATCAAAAGGAAATGCATTTTCTTCTGCTTTTTCTAGCATTTTTGATCTAATTTGGCTATTTATAATTATTTTCTACCTTGCATATAGAGTTCCCCATCTTTAAAAAGCATACCATTTTCATTTGGTAGAAGTCTCTGAAAAAGAATACTTATGTAAGCATATTTCATGTTTTAATATACTGGTTATTCCCAAATTAGAAATCCTAAAATGTCAAAAAAAAAAAAAAAACTATGATGATTGTTTAAACTGTCTTTAGCATCATTCAATTCATGTGTCTAATATTAAAAAAGTGACAACTACTGATTAAAACTTTATCCTCAGTGTAAGAAATACATTTTGATAGAGATATTTTGGGAAATGCAGCAAAAACCTTGATGGAAAAGAAATGACAGGCTGAAAGACTTCCTTTCTGGTTTGAAGGAGAGAATATTGGAAAGACCATATGACTATCATGATAGCGACATGAAAAATAGTGCTGCTTAATTTGACTTTTTCGATAAAATTGTATTAATTAAACATAGAGCGGGGAAAAGAACCTCTCAGGTGTCTGAGACTTCAATATTCCATCATAGCTTCAAACAAAATAAATGGTCTTCACATATCCACAAGATCATTCTAAATGGCCCATTTCATATAAAAGTACAAAGAAAGCTTGATGTTTTCCCCTTTACTGATTGTTTTGGATAACAGCCTCCGACAGCATGCCGCTAATTCATTCTGCTTAAAACAGGCGCTTGAGCTGGGTTGACATTTTACGTAGTCTCTGGGGATCCTAGTTGACATTTTAAAGGGCTTCTAAGCATTTTATAATACCCTAAAATCTGGTTTTAATAAGCCATTCTGCTGAAATTGTTAACATAAGGAATCACCTTTTACTGTTTGGCCCTAGATCATGGGATGGGGACATCTTTTTCTGATTAGATATACAGTCATTGGAATAAAATGTGCAAATTCATTACAGACCCCACAGAGATGACAATGTAGCACAGCTCAAACTTCTCATGTAATTGTATTGCCAGATTTAGAAAGGAAAGAAGCACTGTCATGACATTTTTTTTTCCTTATTTTGAACATTGAATAATTTTTGCTGAATCTTCCTCTTTGTCATCAGCTAAATATCCTCCTCCACCTTTCACTGTAAGAGGCTAACCCTTTGAATGCAGCACAAAACTTGCTCTCTGCAGACGGCCCAGCTAAGCATATAGCCACACCCAACTCAAGTAGCTGTTTTCATCTCTTTTGAGGACATCAAAAAATGCTTTCCTACCATTCTTTACTAGTATTCCAAGGTTTACATCGCAGCTACAGACAGTGATGTTGTACCTGCGAAGCACTGAAACCAAAAACCATACTTGTCCTTTGGTCAACCCTAATCAGAAGTTATTAATAAAAAGATGAAAATGACATTAGCCCTCAAGCTCACTCTTCTGCACTGTCATAAAATGGAGTAGCTTAGGATTCAGTCATACTTCCAGAGAAATTATATCAAGTGTCAAAATATTTTATGATTCCAGTCACTGCCATATTTAGATGCCAACTTATCTGAGAATGTTTGCATTTTTGTTATATATATAGGATGTACTTCTCTCCCTGATTCGTATAGGAGCCATTTCTGCAACCAAGCCTTCTTGACTACAGAAGATTGATTCCACCTCCTTGTCATATGTTTAATAGCTTCCTGTACTTTCCACAGTTATCATTAAAATAATAAACTTTGTAATTAGCTGCTTAATGTATTCTTCTCCCCTGGCAATGTAAGCTTTAAGAACAGAGGTAACCATAACAGGTTGCCATTGCATAGCCCTTCATTCATCATGCACATAGTAGGAAATCTAACAAGAAAGTTCTCACATTCCAAGACAGGTTGCTGTGAAGCATAAACAGTCCCTTAGGTTTATTTATATACACACACGATCCCATACAACCTGGTGAAAAAAAATAGGCAGAAGATCGAAATAGGCAAACAGTACTCTGAGGTTTCACCTCAGACTGGTTAGAATGCATATTACCTAAAAGTCAAGAAATAACAAGTGTCGGAAAGGATTTAGAAAAAAAGGAATGTCAGGAACTGTTGGTGGGAATATAAATTGGTACAGCCACTATGAAAAGCAGCATGTTGGTTCCTCAAACATTTAAAAATTGAACTACCATATGATTGCATAGTCCCACTTCTGGGTATTTACCCAAAGAATATGAAAACACTAATTCCAAAAGATACATGCACCCCTCTATTCTTGTAGTACTGCTCACAATAGCCAAGATATGGAAACAGCTCAAGTGCCCAAGGACAAATGAGTGGATTGAGACGTTGCGGCACACTACTCAGCCATTACAAAAGATGAAATCTTGCTATTTCCAGCAGCAGAATCTCCTCAAGGTCCATTCATGTTAAGTGAGCTACGTCAGAAGGAGAAAGACAAATACCATATAAAGCAAAAAGCAAATCACACTCCAACAACTAACCCGAGGTTTCCAGCAAGAAAGGTGGGGAAGAGAGTGAGTTTGAGGTGGCCCATTGGTAGATAATGACTGGAGATCTGGGGGTGAGTGCGGCATGACTATACACAATTGCCACGGTGAGAAGCTACATCTGAAACCTATACAGTATTGTAACTTAAATATTACCTCAGTAAAATAATAAAACAGTTGTATAAGTATTTTAAGAGATCTACATTATAGTCCAGGCAACTGATGAAATAAAATTTCATCTAAATATAATCACTCAAATATGAAACAATATAAGCTAGCATCTTGCTACTAGTTTAAAAAAGAAAATGTGAAAGTTTATCAATGATGACAATTCAGGTTAAATATGCATGCATATAAACACAAACGGATTTAGCTATTGAGTTGATGTATTGAGAAACGTGTGGAAATGTATAGAGCTAAACAACCTTTATAAGCCAGTTTTATCAATTCAAAATATAACAAACTTGAAATGACATAAAAAACAAAAACTCCCATAGAGGAACCTATTCTTTTTGAAGCATTTAGACTCAGGGAGGAATCTTTGGCAATTCAGATTATAATAGAGAATGTTAGTTTCTTTGTTCTACTTGGAGATAAAGACAACTAATGAAGGTTAAATCAACCATACATGACATATTTTTGGTATACTTCTATAGTTATTCGGGAATGTCTGACAAGCTGACTTTTCCACTCCTGAATCTAAGGTTCAAAATTCTAATGTACACACTGATAAGAAACACCACAAAAAGAGCTGATCCAATTCAGTAGTAGTATAGCTTTACCTATGTCTACACTCACCCTGAAACAGTGGTTTGCAGGAACCTCTAGAGAATAACTTCAGACAGGGAGATTGAGATTCTACCTACAGACGATAAGACCTCATCAGCTAACTTAGGTTGTAACCTGGGATTTCTACACAAGTTTGAGAACAGAATAGAAACTTAAGCTCTGTTTGAATTGTAACCCAGGTTTCTATCGTAAATGAGAATAGTATCAGCTGTCTAGATTGGAAAAAAATCTGTTTATGAGTCTTTATAACACCAACATGGATATGCCCACCCAAGCAACAACACCTGTTCCAACAGGAAACACTCCATGGAAAGAGCTCTTGTCCTTTTTACTATCTTCCTTTGATAACTGTGACAGCCCAGAGGAATTCTCTGCATTTATAGGGAAAAACAGTTCATCAGTGAGCTATTCGCATTTGAAATACCGGGTCATGATTGAGTAATGAACCCATTCAGAAGCTTTAAAGATCTTGCTTAGATGACTGTGAGAGGTTCTGTAAGGACAGCAGCGAGCGCAGGTGCCTATTAGGTGGGGATCTCCTAATTCCAGTTATTTTGGTTGAGCATTTGATAAGAGTTCAGCTGATTATGTGGTGATAAACACATACTTCATCTGCAAATAGATTTTTTTAACATGCTTAATAAAAAATAAGGCTTACTACTGCTTTGACTGCTACATAGCCATTATTGTAGAATCAAAATTTTAAACCACATTTATATTGAGAATTTGCATAAAGTATTTGCAATTAAGCTACAGTTGTTTTTCCTCAATCCTGGTTGGATCCAAACCAAAACTAAAAGTGAGAAGGGGAAGACTAATTTTGGGTAGTATTAATAATAAATATTCTATCACAGGAAGTGACATTTTTATGTATTATAAAAATGACTCAGGAGAAAAGTCTTACTCTACATAGTTACTGTTGTAATTCTGACCTCTGCTAGACGATATCTATGACAGGAGTAGACAGACATGAGGATACCCACCGTTGCACACCTTGAATCTCATCACACCTGAGATTGAGTCACAGACAGGCAACCTACAAGTTGTGTGACTTTAGTAAGTCTAGTAGGTGACTTCACCTAGATTGTGCTGAGAGTAAAAAATGAGACACATAAAACTTTCTGCACAGTATCCACACACAATAGCTACTTGGTGCATACTTGTTAATGGAAATTTTCATTAAATGGATTTTGCATTGTCATCATTACTGTAAGCATATGTAAACATTCTGAGGAGAATGAGAAGTGTGTCTAAACCTTTATAGAAGTTATGTACCCCGACGTAAAAATAATAGCTATTTAACCTCAGATTCAAAATATGTAATGAGTTCATGCATTACTTTTCACTTCAACGTTGAATGACCTCATGATCTAAGGTAGAAATGAAGGATGATTCATTGAATTATGTATAAGTACATAACACACATTGTATAATGTGTAAGTACATAACACGCATTGTATATACTGCAGCCCAGAGTCTGTTTTTGACTGTACTGATTTTTTGAGGCAACAACCACCAAACCCCTCGCCTTAGGGGGACCTCACTTCTTGAATCATAAGCACACTCATCAACATTGTTATGTTTTTCTCGACTTGGGCCAACATTTTTACTTTAGATTTCCTTGTTCTCAGCTGTCTCTTTAGGAAGCTCAGCAGCAAGCAAATGGGAATCCTAACCTGCTTCTCTTCCTAGGATCGCGCTGGAAAGCTATGACCAACCTAGAGAAACAGCCATATTACGAGGAACAAGCCCGCCTCAGCAAGCAGCACTTGGAGAAGTACCCCGACTACAAATACAAGCCCAGGCCAAAACGCACCTGCCTCGTGGACGGCAAGAAGCTGCGCATCGGGGAGTATAAGGCCATCATGCGCAACAGGCGGCAGGAGATGCGGCAGTACTTCAACGTGGGGTATGGCTGCTGGGGTGTCTGGCCGGGGAGCAGTGCCTGGGGTAGTTAGTGCGGGTGACATGTGTTTGTTCCATTCCAAAGCAGCATTTTGAAAAAGAACCCGACTGCAGCATATATCCAGAGACTAAATTGCCCCACACATGATCCCAAAAGAGAATATGCCCAGGACAGTGGCTCTCGTGTGAGTCCTGTCAGCAGCTGGTTGGAAAATAAACTATCTGAAAATCTTTTTGAAATCTGGTGTTAAACCCTTAGAAATATTAGAAACACCAGAAGTGGTGTTCATTACTGCCTCCTACCTCCCATTCTCACCCCCCTCCCTCCCCAAGAAACTACTCCTGCAGCTTAGTGGACAGTGGGAGAGTGTGAAGTTCTGGCGAGTTCAGGGCAGTGAAGTTGTATTCAGGGGTTTTCTGTTTAACTTATCCTTAGGGGAACCTCCCTAGTGGCAGATGGGTTTCAGTCTCAGTAGCCACTGCAGCACAAGTTCAATCCCCAGCCAGAGAGGTGACTCATATGGCTGGACAGACCTCTCCTGACTCGCCCTCTGCTCCCCTCAGCAGTGTATTTCAGTAGATCTGCCTGTTCTGCTCCCCACTCTGTCTTTGGTGAATCCTCTGACACACACACCCCCACACACACACCTCTGGCCTACACCCCAGCTCTTGTATCCATAAATAAATGAAATAAATCTTTTCTTAAAAATTATCCTTAGGTTTAACTTTTAAGAAACTTTCTGCTGTTCTAGTGAAGGAAAAATGAACTTGCCGTCAAGGACGTGAGTTCTGCTTAATCTTTTTCGCGCCTCAGTTTTTTCCACAAGAGGGACTAGAAATAGAACAGAATTATTTTAAGAAATAAATGGGAAGCACATGCAAATGCCTTCTCATCCATAGAGCCTGTATTAGAATCAAAGTAGGATGCGACTTTTAAAAGTTGGGCGATACAGTGAAATCATGACATTAGAGTTGGCCAAGCTGAGCGGCTCATTTCTGTGGTGGGACCTGTGTGTCAGTCCCCTCTGACCCACGCTGTCTTTTTGGGAATTCCTCTCCAACAGGCAACAAGCACAGATCCCCATCGCCACGGCAGGAGTTGTGTACCCGGGAGCCATCGCCATGGCGGGAATGCCCTCCCCTCACCTGCCCTCCGAGCACTCGAGTGTGTCCAGCAGCCCCGAACCCGGGATGCCTGTCATCCAGAGCACTTACGGCGTGAAAGGAGAGGAGCCACACATCAAAGAGGAGATACAGTCTGAGGACATCAACGGAGAAATATATGATGAGTACGATGAGGAAGAGGATGATCCAGATGTAGATTATGGGAGTGACAGTGAAAACCATATTGCAGGACAAGCCAACTGATAAGGGGCAAGATGTTGTTGTGACCTTAGGACTTCAAGAAGCCCTAGCTGGTTCATCCTTACCAGTGGCCAAGCACATTAACTTTCTCATACACTGACTGTTACTTTAACTGTTAGTCTTAAATAGTTGGGACATCAGCTGACTAATAGACCTCAGCCTCAAAAGGCTTGAAAGGAAAAAAAAAAAATACAACAATCAAACAACAATATCAACAACAAGGAGAATGAAATAAGCTATGGGTAAAATAATGCCAGTAATTCAGCTGCTACATCCAAGCACTGAAGTCTTACCCGTCAACTTTTTTTTTTTTAATAAACTTTATGGCTGTTTGTTCTACAATGTTCTAGAAATTCTCACTCAGGTACACAGTGCCAACAAGTGGCTTGTGAATGTGTTTTGTTGTTTTGTGCTACAATTTTTAAAAAGAATAAGTTTTGTTTTGTTCTTTGGGGTTTCTGGGTTTTTTTCTTTTCCTTTTTTTTTCTTTCTTTTTTTTTTTTTTTTTTTTTGGTAACGCACCTGACAGAAAAAAGAAAGATGAGTTTCTCTTTACTTCTCTCCACCTTCTCCATCTCTACACTTTAAGATGGAAGTCTGTGCATGGGGAGGGGAGAGAGGGACTAAGAGCCTGTTTTTGAACTTCCTTGCTATCCACCACAAAATCAGCAATTACTTTCTTTAGAGGACTTTCTTTATCTGTTGCACACCACACTACATCTTTGAGCAAGTGCCAAATTTGTACTGAAGTGTTGACCCAGTTCATTCCCCTCCCCCTTTCTTTTCTCCCTATCCTTCTTAAGTTAGGACAGTGTTATATCTTAGACAATCCCTTGAAAAACCTGAAATACCAGCAGCTGGTGAGATTTGACTTTTTTTAGTGGAAACTGTAGGTGCTGTTCTCAGGTGAAAAGAGAGAGAGAAAGAGACATAAGAAATTTAGAGAAAAAATATTTTCTGATCTTGGATTTTTGTGTGTATGTATGTGTGTGATTAAGGTACTAATAGAAATAACCTTGGACCATTGTGAGTTAAACCCACATCTGGGGATGAAATCCCACATCCTCCTAAGTGACTGGTCTGGAAGCAACCTTGACCTCGACTTTGCACTTCAAATGACAACCATTGTAGGGCTCAAATTATATTTTTAAATTTCTATGATGATGATTATTGGGTGGATCAGGTGGCCCTGTGTAATAGAGGTGTGTGTGTATAACATGGAAGCTACTAGTGACCTGCTCCCAGATGTTCCTCCTTCCCTGTCAGTTGGTTCCACTGATGCTTGCTACTTCATGATTACTCTTTCTTTTTCTTGTTGATAACTTTGAAGAAATTGATCGTCGTTTTCCTTACTATTTGGCCATTTTCCAGAAATACAGAGTTAGTTTATTTCTTCAACATTCCATCCTTTCCTCTTCAGGAAATGGGAACTGATGATTTTATAACGCATGTACCATCTCTACATGAAACAAGTGGAGGCCATTAGCATTTCAGAATTGTAGGCCATGTGCATCTCATGCCATGAAAAGCAGGATTCGATCAAAAGTCATTGCATCCCAACCAATGAAGCCCAGTTGAGTCCTGCAACCATTGCCTCTACGCTTCCTTTGCTGTGAGATGGGTCCACTGGAATCCAACTTTGGATTCCAGCAGAGTCTGTGCATACAGCAGCCACCTGTGGTGCCAGCCAAATGTCACAGCAGTTGTAGGGTCTATACAAATAAATGAGAAATCATTTAAAGTCAGTCGCCATTATTTGCGCTGGAGCATCAGATGGTAAATCCTGCAACTAGTAGCTCGGATGATGTGCGATGGTTTCACTCCAGTCATCATTTTCTGTCTACCACCCCACCCCCCCAAACCTGACCCTAAAGTTTGATTTTTTCATACGAAGAAGAAAAAAGTTGTTTTTTTTTTTTTTTTAATTATTTTTCTCTCTCTCAAAAGACTTGCTCTAGGGTTTTGTTTGGAGGAGCTGATCACATCCTGCATGTCAGAAATTTTGTTTTGTTTGTTCTTCTGTTTGTTTTTGATGACTGTATTTTCATTTGAACTGCCTCTTTTTGCTAGTGTTGTTATGATGATTATGATAAAATAATAATAGTAATAATAATAATAATAATGGTCAGCTGTTCCCAGATTAGTAAGTTATGTATAATTTATTTCTCCCTTTCTATTTTATTCTGCTCTGATTTGGAAGTGCAGCCAATAAGCTGTTAGATATTTAAAATGAATTTCCATCTCCAGCTCATATATATAAATATATATATTTATATGCATAAATATATATATATATATATATATACACACACACACACATATTCACTCACACAGTTTTACTTCTCCTTCCATAGGTTTTCTCCTTTTTAGAAATTTGGCCCCAACAATGTCAGGTCCTGGTGTTTAATATAAAAGAGTGAATTAATAGGAAGGTCATGTTCAACCTTAATTAACTTATGCTCTCATCACTCATTTTAGTTATTTAATTGCCACAGTCATCTAGAGCCAATTTTTTTTTTTTGTTTTGTTTTTAAGCACTCTGGATAAGAAAAAAAATAGACACTTGTTTTTATATCATTATTATGTACAATGTGAAAACAGATTTTTAAAAATTTGTTCTCTGTCTTTGTTAACAAATTCTTTCTGACTTATGTGGGTTCACCTCTCACGTTTGCTGGATACTTATTTTACACCATGTTATAAAGATGCTTTGTTTTCATTTCATGACTTTGGGCTACAAGAATACTTTGTTTTAGCTCCAGGTAAGATGCCACTGAGGGCATTCATGACTGAAACCGATTTTAAAACACTCACCAGTGAATTGATAAAATGCTTCTGTTTGGTCTTTTTTTGCTTGTTTTTTTTTTTTTTAATGTTATTTGAAGGTGAAAACGCAATTGTGAATGGTGACCTCTAACTGCTGAAATTCAGAAGTTAATTTTATTTAGTAAGGTCTATGTCACAGAGACCAAATTGCCTGGACCAAAATAAAAAGCAAGTCCACAACCCCCGTGGTAGCTTCCCTTATTTTGATGGCTTATTTACCAGGTATCAAAATTTCTTCATCTTAGTTTACCCCAAAAGAAGACAAACCAAAAAATTATAGTAAGGCTTAATATGCTTTGAAGTCATCTGGTAAAAGGTGCTATGAATAGCAACTTGCTGTGTTAATACATTGCCTTGTTTGGCATTTGATTGGTTTATAATTTTTGTGAAGGATCCTAAAACTTTGTATTCTTTTTCTGTGCCCCATGATGACCAAAAAAGAACAGGGAGAGGAAGTTAGAGTAAGATCAGACTAAAATGAACATAAAGCCCCTCTCTTTTCCTTTCCTACCTACTAGTTCATACCCACCCCTCTCTCTCTCTCTCTCCCTCTGTCCTCTCTCTCTCTCTCTCTCCCTTTCTCTCACCCAGCACTGACGAGTAATTTGCCAGAATTATGGTTTTTATGACTGTTGTGATCAGTTCCTCTAAAAATAGTCATGTTCTAATATGAACTATGAGAACATCACTGGAGAAAATAAGTTACTTTTACTCATTTATAAGTTACTAATAATTTGGATTATTACAGTTGGATAAAAAACGAGTCTTCAGTGCATGTGTGCCTAAACCAGTTAAGCCCATTTTTAACATTTATTTGGCATATGCAGTTAAAAGTTAACCGTGTATAAAATCCCTCCCAAAGAACATAATCATTATTGAAACCAAATCCGCTTATAATGAACAAATATAAAACAGTTTTCTTTGATGAAATTATTTCATAGATTCGATTTCTGAAGTAGATGTTCACTTTAACTGATTTAAAGAAAATTATCTTTAACCATTTTATAATCCTATTTCAGATATTTTGTTAATCCCGAAGTTACTATTCCTAGAGGAAACCTCTTCTATCACATTTAAAACATTAAAAATAATTACATTTTCATTCATTCTAATGGTTAAATTATTGAACTGTAATAAACAACTGTATATTTACAAGCAGGTTTATAAAATATTTGTCTATCAAGTTAATGGTAAAATAAAAATTACTGGGTCTGCAAGGAAAAAAGATGAAGCCCACTTAAAGTGGTTCAGATATCTCATTGTCTAATAGGGCATAGGATTTTGTTTAGCCAGACTTTTACAGTATTTAATTTCAAAGTTTCTATAACTATCAGTGTCCCAGGTTGAAGATGATGTTGTGTTGAGTTTTCTACTGATGGATTCCTGTCCTCCTCAGTGTTCCTGTCACTGGTTCACTAAAACAGTATTTATATAGCTCCACTGGCTCTAAAGCTCTAAATTCTTCTAACATTTTGAATTTTACAAGTAAAAATGGGAAAAAGTAGAAAGAGACAATCAAATGCCTGGAGCTTAAAACAAAGTATGTGCAACCTACCATCTCACTTGAAATTTAATAAAATAAATAATTATGTAAATATAACATAGAGTTATAGATTTATATTTTGTTCATAACACATAGTGTAATATAAGTTGTATATTTTCATGTTTTTGGTTTTATGTTATCATTCATGCCACAATAAAAATAAAACAGGAGTTTATGTACTCTTAAAAAAAAAAAAAGATGTGGGTTGCCACCAACCTGTTTTTTTGTTTGTCTTTTGTTTTTTTTTGTTTTTGCATTCTCTTTTTTTTTTCAGTATTACTGCCATGCAAGGCACCAATAAAAACAGCAAATGTGTTCTTTACCTATTATATTGTGTTTCTTTTCACAATTCTGGTTATGGAGGTGTAATCATTTTAAAAGAGCAAAAATAGGAGAAATAATTTTGTTTTCATTATAACTAAACCCACTTACTGAAGTTGACTGAAAACTAAGGGTATAATTTTTAGAGGGGGACACTCCAAGAAGGACAACCAGAACTTGTTACAGTGCATCTCAGACAGGGCTCAAGGCATACTGTAATGTCAAAAAGATACTGCTTGTGCAGGTAATTAGTAATATACTTCAAAGTCCTATAATTCTCTGAGGCATGATGCAGTGGAATGAGGGAGCTGCACTTCAGAATTGTGTTTCATCCTGTTGTTTGTATAGAAAGAAATTCTAAGCTTTAAGTTTTTAAACTACTAATAAGTAAAAAGTCATCACCATGCTGGTATCTAGTTTAGAATAATGGTTATTTCTAAATTCTTTCACATTCTGACTTTAACCTCTGGACTCAACTACTTTTTGAGCAAATGTTGAAAACACGGAATGTCCTTTCCTTCCAGGGGCCATTTTCCTTGTCTCATTCACGAAAGTGTTTAATCTCCCTTATCATTCAATGTGTGATAGTTTCTTTGGTTGGTTGATTTGTTGGTGATATTTAATAAGTATCAACATACTGACGTCTGGTTCAAATGAATAGAAAGGAAGTACATAAAGAAGATATCTTCGACTAACACTTTGCTCCTTTGTATTTTACAAAGTCTGGTTCATGTTCCACCTGCTTCAGAATTAACTT